ATAAAAAAAGAAAAGATCCTGCCAAAATACTCTGTTGTTTCTGGCTTGTCGAACATCTGAACTCATTTCACAGTAATGAGGTCGGCAACATTATTTCCAATCAGCATAACTCAGCTGTACTTATTTTTAAACACTACCATATTCCCGTTCCTAGAATTGAGTCTGACAAAAATGAGTGAAGCAGCAGATTGGCGGTGAATATGTGGGAGTTGTAGTATGGCTGTGCTTTGACAGGTAACCTGCACCAGAGAGGAGAAAAAAATGAGGAAAAAAACCTCAAAGGAATTCAAATACTTCCTTCCAGTAAGCTATAATTGTGTGCTTTTGTTAATTCACTCTTCATAATTCCCTCATTACAACTCTTGAATGGTGGTGATTAAACTTAAGAAATTCTTTCAACAGGCGTCTCTTTGAAATGAGTATCAATTAAGTCCTTTATTATCGGCTATTCTTTCTAACAATGACAATTCACTGCACAACAGTGACTGAAAAAGGCTTTCCTTTAAAATAAGTGACTATACGTGCAAATAAGACGACCTCCGTATAAGATGAAAATGAGCATATGGAGCTTTTTCTTTTCTTTCTTTTTGACTCTGAGATTATTACATGCTATACTTGGTGATGTTCCAAACCTCAATAATGTTGCTTTGACAAGTTGATCAAATAGCTGGCAGGTCATTAAAATTAACTTTGATTCTGTGGCACTTTATCATCTACACAAGTAAAACAATTAATACATCATTTTAAATCCTGAGGTACCCAGCGACTGGGAATTACACATGAATATTCAGCTAGAATTCATGAGCTAAAGTGCTCGACAGAGTGAAACATCTTTATGCGAGAAACTTCCCTGAGAATACTATTTCCTCTTCTGGAATGATTCCTGTTGCGTTTCAGCCAAAAAAATTCGGAGCCTAGAGAGGAAAGCAACATTACCGCTTTCTTGGCAAATGTGACAGGTTAGAAGCAAGTTGACATTCAATCTGTTTCCCCGTCATAACCAGCATCTTTGTTCACAACTGAGTTAAGGAAGAAGAAGAAGAGAAAAAAAAAGAAAAGAAGGACATATGCCTGTAATTACTGTAACCGCAGGCAAAAGATCATCGCCAACCAATATCCTTTCAGGGAGTCATGAAAGAAAACACTTCAATGTGAGACGCCAAGGAAAAAGAGAGGAGGTCTTTCTCATAGCGCAGGCGGTTAATTGATTTTGCCTATTATGAAGTAAGCAACATAAATATCCTCCTCTTTAAACCGACTACTGAGACGTGCTCAAGCAGGGCTTCAAATAATGCTACGACGTTTAATTTGGGGCACTTCTTTAACAAACTACTGCAAAAAACGATGTTATTTGGAGGTGTGTGTGAGTGTGTGCATGTGTTGCAGTCAATATTGTTTCTCCATCTGATGCAATTACCATGTATAGAGGAGTTTTTTTGAAATTTGCCTGCCTTGCCCCCCCGAGAGCCCTAAAACTCGCAGAGGAGCCGAGTCAGGCTTTATCAAGTCCTTATCAGCGATTAGAGCAGCAACCCCTGCTGAATGATCATTTATTAGATCTCCTCACCGTTTAAGGTTCAGGGCACAATGATCTTAATTACTGCTATAATGGGTGTATAAGCAAAAGCCCAGTGTAGTTCCGCAGTGTCAGTGGCAGCTAAATAAAGGGCCATTTTCCCCTGCTCCCAGCTCTTAAAAGGCACGTTTGAAGCGGTGGTGTGATGAAAGGCTCCAAATGAAGGGCAGGGGGGGAGAAAAAAAAAGAACAATAACAAATTGACATCTCTTTTTTGGAGAATTATACCACGGGGGAAGGCATTCTCCCATCCTTAATCACTATAAAATGGTTTAACATGACATGCAGAGGCTGGCAAATGATCAAATCCTGACAGGAGGACAAATTGCAAACAAAATGAGAGATCAAGTTTATTAGAGCGCCGCCTCTGGGAAATGAAAATCTTTAATTCTCTTTTTACATTGACATTTATTTGGCTGGCGTGAACAGTGATGTTCACACACAGACACACCACTACGGATGCACCTACTACTGTAACTGCTCCACTGCAATGATAGCACAGTCAATGACATTTATCATGTTTGCCTTTGTAGCTGACACCTGAAACACATTGTCTTTCATCCAGCCGGCATTCATCATGTATTTTATATAAAGTTCACGGGGGCGCACGGCTGTGTGTTCATGCAGGAGCAATGAGGGAACCAGGCAGGAATTATCCATCACTTCCAGCACAATGGATGGATTCGTGTTGGTTTTTAAATGTCGGGACTCTCTTTAAAGAGTTCCTTTTAAATTCTCATGAAAGGAAAATTCACTTCGAGGAATTTGACTTTGATAATGAAAATTCAAATGAGCCTTTTCGATTAAAATATATGCTTTTAATTAAGCCCGTGCAGTAACGCTGTATTATCGCTTATTAAGTGGAATCATTTTGGGGTAATACTGACACATCACACTGTTAATTTATGAAGTTGTGTGATTAAATTAACAAGAAGAAAATGTTTGAATCTTTGTTGTGGAAAGTTTAAATGAATGCGAAACAGCATATATCAAAGCTGCCGCTGTCCACCCATCAGTCCAGCCATCCTCTTAACCGCTTTTCCAATTCAGGGTCACAGGGAAGATGGAGACCATCATAGTGCAAGAAACTGGGTACACTTTAAACCATTCAAATATATTCTAAAGAGCTTGGAAAGAAAAGCGTCTGGACTTCTTTATGTTACTTGAAGACGTTTCACCTCTCATCCGAGAAGCTTCTTAAGTTCTAGGGTCAAATGGTGGAAAGTCCCAGATTTAAGTCCTAGGGGAGTGTCATGAACCCCATTTTGATCCTCTACCTAATCACACGAGCCAAGGTGTGAAAATGAGTGTAGGTCACAATCAGCCAAGGTTTCGGGTGAGCTCATTGCGAAACCTAGCCCCACCCTATCATGTGATTTCCTGATTTTTCCTGAACAGGGGGTTCATGACCCCCTTTTGGGGACACTCCCATAGGGCTTAAATCTGGGACTCTCCACCATTTGACCCTAGAACTTAAGAAGCTTCTCGGATGAGAGGTGAAACGTCTTCAAGCAACTTAAAGAAGTCCAGACGCTTTTCTTTCCAAGCTCTTGACTGAGAACCTTTCCAGATACATTCAAATATATTGTACAACAAAGAGCCACAGGATCAGATGCAAATAAATTTGATTTGCATATTAAAATCACACCTCATCTTGTACTTTTTGTTTCTTGTATTATGCTGGTGTGTTGTAGATTTTCTTTATTTCAGTTTGGATTCAGGTATCAAACAACCTTTTTAAGATTAGGCAAAAAACTTTCTTTTTCAATAAAAAAGGACCCTGAATCCTTCCTTAGTTACGCTGCAATCGGGCTACGCTGCTGGCTTCCCACGATGCACTTAGTGTTTCTTCTTCCTCACCATGTGTTTATGCACCACTCTGCATTTAACCATTACTCATTACTACCCTCTGGCATCCTGTCTCCCTCCCCTCACCCCCGATGGTTGTGGCAGATGTCTGCCCCTCCCTGAGCCTGGTTCTGCTGGAGGTTTCTTCCTCTTAAAAGGGGAGTTTCTCTTTCCCACTGTTGCCAAATGTAACCTGACTGTTGTGGTTTTCAGTGTTATATTGTATGGCCTTTACATTATAATATAAAGTGTTTCGAGGCAACTGTTGTGATTCGGTGCTATATAAATAAAATTGAATTGAATAATTATGATGTGCGTCTTCTTCTCAGTTTGTTAGCAGCAATTATGTTTTCTTATTATTACTATTATTTTTATTGGCCATTGAACTAAGTTAATTCAAGGAATGGCATGATGTGCTGACCGTAATGCAATCCCATTATCATTTAGCCAGAAACATCCCAAAAAGTTGATTACTTTTCATCAATTGTTTAAAATTCCATACACACCAGCTGCATCAGCACATCTTTTATACACCTAAAACTTTCCTATAATTTCAAAACTTCTATATTAACAAGCATATTTTATTTAAGCTGTCAAACTGTGTCTGTTCTTTGAATTGTTGCGGTAACAGACTCATAAATGACTAAACTTGTAATAAGAAGTCCACTAGGTTTACAAGAAACGGTGGATCGATTCCAATCCACACAGTCTTATCGCCACAGGCTAAAGATGGATAAAGGTCGGCAGCATCAGTGAGGGGGCAAATTTCTCCAGCTGACTGGACAGGTCGCACCCCCAGGCGTATGGCTGCGCTGAGCGGGGGGCTTTCCCCTCATGGCCGAGAGGTTTGCTGGACAAGGATTTAGGGTGAAATATCGCGTTTGTTTATTATTTTTATCATTGTTTATGCATCAGAAGTTGTTCAATAAACCATATTTTTCAGCCACAGTGAAGTTACGAAGAAAAACCACTTGTTCTTGATTGACGGATCACTACATCTCTGCATCTATACCCGACTTTTTGCAAACTGTGTCACAATTATTGTAAAATCCCATCCATACATATCAGCAGCATGCTTGATAATAACAACACCTTTTGTTTTGTTTTTGTGCATACATTTGGCATAGTGCCATTACAGGCACACTGGGACATATAAAAATATTGTGTATTATATTTTGGTTAATATTCATTTAACTACTCAATAAATTTTTTTTTAAAACCATAAAAAACATTTTTAACCCAGAAAAATGGTTAAAAAATGACATTTTATAACCTAAAAGTTTGTTCATTCATTTACAATTATTCTTACATTTACTTAATGCAAAGTCAGTCTTCTTTGAGCTCTTATTTTGGTCTCCGTCTGAAGGAGCACCATCAGGTAACTGTTAATGGACAGGTAGCTTAGCGAGAATTTATTCCAGTGCTATCACTGAAAACGAAAAAAACCCCCACAAAAAATGCTGAAAATGAACCAAACTTAAACTACAGCTTTCCACAACGATACAGTATAGTTGTGAAAAACTGCACAGTCAATTAAATATTCTGTGAGCTCATCACTTTAAGTGTACACGTTTACGTTAAACATAGCTGATTTATGCACTGTTAACACAAAAATTTACATTACAGCTGCTTTATTCTTTATCAAACCATCATAGTCTTTTGAGAATCTGGACAAAAAGGCAGCATGGTTTATAGATGGAAATAAAGGCACCAGTAAATTAAACCGAACGTCAGCTTATAAATACTCTTTCCAGCAGGATGAAATTGAGAACGCTGGACACATGTGAGGACACTGTCCTGCAGCGCTAACACTCTTGCTGTTGCACTGCCTCTCCGCAGTCCCCAGCGATGAGTGATATGATGGAGTCTTTACCTGAGGCTATCTCTCCCCATGCACGACTAGTCGGAACTGAACTGCAAGGGCAATGAGGAGAGACGCCCCGTGGCTCCAAACAAAGGTAAAGGCTTCCAGCAGTAATCGGAAACTATCGTCTCTCCTCACGCTGCTTAAACCTGCAACCCCTGCTCAGTTATGATGACACTGCCATTTAATGTCCTGTTAACAAATATGCCCCGTATCAAAGGAAACTGGATTGATTTGAGGGGCAGCTCTGTCAACCGCTCCCCAAGGTCACTCTGCCAGCGTTTTGCAAAAAAAAGGAAAGAAAAATAGGGCAGGATGTAAGAGTTGAAGCATTAAAAATTGCTGAGGACTGGCCTGGAGTCTGTCCAAGACAAAGTTAGAAGTACTTCACAAATCAATGCCTGCTCTCTGCATCCCCCACGCTTCTTTTATGCTCTGAAATGACAGAATGTAGTGCAAGCATTCTTTTTTTGAAACATCTGGTGTCAATATTGGAGCTTAACTTCAAAGAAATTACTGATAGCATTCTGCTCCCTTCAGTCAGAGATCTAGCATCTATTTAAGGCTGTGTTCTGCAGCTTCGAGATATGAGGTTTAAGTGAAGGGTAAAGATGTCCAAAAGGGGCCAAAGATGGGATGGCTTCGAGTGGAAAATGTGTGTAGATAAGCAGACAAAAAAAGAACCCTGAAAAGAAAAATGGCATACCGACAGTTGCGACGGTGTCGTCCTTGCCCTGGGTGAAGACCACCACTCGCTGCCTCTTCGTGTTCTCCTTGGGGAGGTTTTGGGTTTTCTTTGCAATCTCTGCGATGTCGTCTGTCTGTGAAAAACACCAGACCACCGGGTGAGAATGTGTTGAGTCGAGCGAATGCAACATGAGGAGCAATTTCTGAAGAGTTAATCAAAGATCACGCGTGTGACTGAGAGAGGTCAGATTTTTCCAATCCAGGCAGACACATCAAAGTGATAATGAAACCAGATGGGCTGTGAACCCATTTTGAAACAGATCAATAGGGACGCTCAATGAGGCTTCCACGCACTTACTGGAGAATTGCGAAAATATTAGAATGTCATATTCCCTAAGTGAGATGAAAATAAGCGTGTTAAGATATGCTGTTGTCAGATAAAGCTACTTCTGCAAGCTGAAGGGATAGGTGGTGCGTGTACTGTATCATTCTCTTCCTGAAACAGGCCATCTCTCCTCAGCATCTGCACTGAATGGATATTCTCGCCTGGAGACGACAGAACTCTCCAGAGTGCTTGCCTTTGATCATGAGAGGGATAAAAAAACCCACACCTGTCAGTGCTACTTTATTATTAACTCATCATGATGTACTATGAGCAGGTAGAACGTCTTTATCGCCGTCTCGCAGTGGGGTGGACTGCTTTTCTGTAATACAGCACATTGAGGAGCTAGCATTAGGGATACTAGATGCCTCTAGCATCTGTATCAAAGCGAACGCTTGAGCACCTTCAGGGGTGAGCAAATACTGTGATTATGGGAGTAATCAGAAAGATAGGCTCCAGCCCAGTACCACCAGGCTCACTGGCTCACTCAAACCAATGAGCTTTTTACACCTTTAAATGCTTCCCAAACGCCCTTTAATCAGGCCTGAGAGGTCCAGGGAGACCCAGGGCTGAGGAAAAATGGGTGTAACACTCTAAGTAAGTGCTAATGGTGAGGTTAATACAGAGGCCGTTAGCAGACGACGGCGAAAAAAAAGAGCAATTTGTCACTGTGACTGGATGTAACCACAAGCACTCCTCCAGACACTGAATGCAAAACCACACAAGGCTTTGGCACATTGTCACCCTTGGGTTTTATGTTCACTGACATAAAAAAAAAGGGGCTCCACTCAGCTTTTAGGAGCTAAAATGTTCTAAAGGCCAGAGGTGGTAGGGCACATAATAACACAAACACAAGTTTACAAAAAAAGGAAGAAAAGAAGTGCCACATGGCTCTGATGGCTGATTCAACAGGTGCTCTTCAGTAAAATGATATTTTAAGTTTACTTTTCAAGCAGTTCAGCAGGAAAAGAAACCTCACACGACTCTTCATTAGGATCTGACAAAGACGCAATCAGTCAGCCAACACCCATGACATGGTACGCAACCCATAAAAATAAAATAAAATATCCAATCCATGTTGAAAAAAAATCACAATAAGTGCTTTGCAAAATAAATAAATTAGTGCTTTACACTTTATTAGTGCTGGTTTGATCCCAGAAAAAGCCACCAAACCATCAAGAACTGCCTCAGGAAGGGCGTCCGGCACATCTGCAGATCCAATATATGCAGAGCTACCTGTGTGAATGTGTGAATAATGGAGCAGCTGAAAGTAGCTTTAGTATCAACAAAAGTAAATCTGTAAGGTAAATAAGTTGTGTGCTACATACATAAAATAGTAAAAAGGGTGTAAATGTTTTCTGTAAAGAGTTTTGTTTTACAAGGTGTTTCATTCCTAAGCTTATCACACTAAATGTGTCAAATGGAAACCCAGCATATCCAACTTTATCACATCGGAAGCTATCGTTAAAGCTACGCTAAAGTGAACTAAATAAAACATCACCAAGTGCTAGTGTTTAAGTTTTCAAAGTATCTTCCAACTACTAGTCAGAAAATAAACTACCAAAAAAAATTAAAAATGCAGAAAATCTACCTTGTTGTTCAGACTTGAAAGCTTACTGGCCTGCAGTGTTACAATCCACAGTGTTTCTTGTTGAAGGAGGTTTTTTCAATCTATCACCAGCTCCCATATAGATAACTATCACTTCTAGAGTGAGCACTTTTATAGCAAAGCCACAAAGAGGGGGGTCAAGGGTGCGATCAGCTTCTTTAAACTCGCCCAGTAGCAGTGATGACGAACACGCCAGTCACTGCAGCTCAAGTTTGTGTCTTTTGGAAACAAACCAACAGATGACTAAAAGACAAGACAGGAAGCTGTGAGTCTCGCTACTGGTCCACTTTCAGACACGTGATTTAGAAATAATTTTCTAATTGAATGTTTACTTCCCTACATATTTTGAGATTTCATCCTTGCTCGCTTTAGTATAAAAAACTTTTGACGTGCTACAATTGGATCTCCTGGGTTAGCCTTTACACGTACAAGCACACTTAACTTAACTTCCTCCTTTCTGCCAGGCAGAAACACTTACCTGACAAGCTCCCGGGGCAAAACGATACAGAAAATAACGTTCAGCGCGAGTGCAGACAAATGACTTGACAAATGATATGGTCAATTTGGTTTACTACTGACAAATGGCAATATTTACAATTGTGAGGCAATTGATCAGACATAAATCAACAAACCGTGAAATATGAAAGCTCTACAAGGGTGTTAAATTGTGTTTCTGTGTTGAAGCCAGTGAGAAACTGATCGTTTCCACTGCATGCTGCTTGAGAAACACTGCGAGGGAGAGATTCAATTAGAGCTGTGATGCTGAGTTCTTTGAGCATTTAAAGGAAACAGATCACAATCAGGCGACTGTGTTCAGATCTGCTGATTGCTGTTTTGGAGAGGAAAGCTTTTTATCTTGTGTTTAAGCTGAAGAAGGGCTGCTGTCATTTTTGTTAGTCATCCATAATGTGATGATAACAGTGTTTCGGGATACATGCGGCGCTTTAGGGTCATAGAATCCAATTATACTTCCCTCAAAAGTGCCGACCTTCCCCAATTAACCCGGACTTTTACTGAACTTCAATCGACCTCAGTGGCCTTCATATGTTTCGTTTCAGACAGCAAGTCTAACTTTTTGTCTTCTTTTGAGTCGGCAAATGTTAAAGAACTAATGTTTTTGGCTATAAGACTAAAATAAAAAACTACAAATGATAGAATATAATAATAAAATAATTGTAAGGTAAAAATGATTGTTTGAATATTGATGTTTCAAGAAAACCTACTCTGCTTTGAACACAAGCCAACTTTATTTTACTTTTTAAAGCAATTCAAACCATTAGAATATGGTTAACAGGTGGTTTTCTATGGCATCAGAGGCTGCCACTGAACTATGAATCGAACAAATGCCTTCTGCTGCTAAAGGCAATCGGATAAGGCTGAAAGCTCTTCAAAATTTCTGGTAAGTGGATCTTGTAAGACTTGTAAGACTTTTTTAATCTAATTACTTGTGGAAGCTTATAAATGAGTCTTAAAATTAATTTATTTAATTAATATATGACATTTTAAATTATGGAGACCGGAAAAACCTAAAAAAGTAAATAAATAAATACAGTAAGTAGTTTAAAAAATGTGTTATTAATATCCCAAAATCCATCAAGATATATGATAAAAAATCTTTCTAAAAATAATAATTAAAAAAAGCATAACTATCATGGTATTAAATATATAAAACGAGACTTAAATTATATTTCCGTACTTTAGTACAATATTTGTTCATAACCTATATGCATAGCTTGAATAACAAGTAAGTATAAATGTAAAAACAAAAAATAATAAGATTATTAATTGGGTTTTTTTATTAGCATTTAGTTTAGTTTTTTTTTATAATAGAGTAGAGTAGAGTAGAGTAGCCATTTATTGTCATTGTACATGTACAAGGAAACTGTGAAAATTATGGAGTTTTTCGAAATTTTTTGGGCCGTTTTTGACCTCTATACATTATGTAAAGATGACAAAACATATCCATATGAACTCATACAGGTGTACTGTGTATTTGCAAAAAAACAAATTTCCTCCGCTAACACTGCCTTAACAATTAATCCCCCATCTCCGGGTTGAATCAAAGTTTTACAGGCTAAAACTGTGCATATTCATATTTTTGAGGACTTGCCAGGGTATGACTGGTCTACGGGAGCCGGCCTGTACCAGCAAAGTTTAAAACTGTCACCAGAAAGTGACGAGAGGAGAAAAAAAAAGCGGTGAAGAAAACATCTTTGAACCACAGCCATCTAGAAATGCGCCAAGTACAGTACACACCACCGATGTTATCTGAGAAATCACATTCATCCAATGCAATTTCGCAGAGTGTTCTGCCAAATCAGGTTGACACGGAAAATGTCAAAGAATTGTAACTACTAGGAGAGTCTTCACTTTGCCCTTTGTGGGGTTTTTTTTCCATGTGAGGCCCCTCCATTACTAACACCTCCCCAATTCCACCACCCCCCTACAGCACCACCACCTCCGCCTTCATCCCTTCTCCTCTCTTAAACCTGTCACTGCCATCAGGATTGCATTTCTATTCCAGTCACGTTGATCACACCGTTAGTGATTCTGGATGACAATTACTCACACAGAGCAGAGACATATTCAAGGCAGCGCTACCTCTGAAAGAGAGAAGGCACTTAAAATACCTGAGCCCATGTGAAGGGAAGAAAAAAAAGCCTCGCATATCGGCTATTTGTGTTTTGATTTTTGCATTTAAATAGCAATGGAAGGAATATGCAAAAACACGAGGAAAAAATAGACTAAGGGAACGTTCACTTTACACTTAAGAGACAGCCCCACGTTAAAACACACCGTGCTTTCTGTAATCTTCATTTCCATAATCCAAAATCACAGGTGGCTGTAATTTGGTTATTAAAAGACGACGGTGCGCGCTCAGTGTAGTGTAATGCTATGGCAGTGAAGAGGAGACATACAGTATGCGATCCCTGAGTGCAATGAAGATAATGAGGAGGCTTTTTAACCAGGCAACCTGATGAGCCCCACGCCTGCAGAGAAAAGCTTGAAACCATGCCCAACTTCTCAGCTTCCCAAGAGGCTTTTCAAAATTCAATAAATAACATCTGTAGGCGATGTTGGGTGCAGACCTAGCAGAGTGCGTCATAACAGAGAGCTGGCTGAACAAAGAAACCATGACGACTGCCAGGTTTCCATAGCAACTGCTGCAAGGCCTGGAGAGTATAATAGCACATCAATCACTGTCCAAAAAGAACTTCATTATCAGCAAAAATAAACCTTTAGGATCTTTTTAGTGTGCAATTGCTGGTCAACTCACCTCAAAGCCCAGCTCTTTGGCAAACGTGGCCGCCTCCTGGAAAAGATAAGACACAGACAAATGAGCAGTTAATTACAGAGTCACAAACAGAGCACAGTGTCGCACACCAGACGTGAAGTAAAGACATCTCGCTTCCCTCCGCTCCTCGCATGTCTGGCCATTTTCACTTGAGAATAAGTAACCTGAGTTATTGTTGTTCTGCCAACTCCTGATTTAATAGGCGTGCAGCCCACCCATTTAAACTACAGCCTGACATCATCTCATCTTACCAGAGCAGCGTGAGATAACACCCCATCAGCCTCCAGCCTTGAAACCACCACTGAAACCATGAATATGTGCTAGTGTGTGGGAATCCCCAACACTGCAGGCATTCAGCGCCCACTTTATGTTGCTTTAGTCTCCTAACAGGTGCACTTAAACGTTTATGCAGGCTGTAGCGAGTTAATCGCGAAAACCGCTCACTGACGCCGTTTCATATTTTAATGTAGTCTCCCAGTGGTCGCAGGTACAAGCTGGTGTTAGTAAAAAAAAATCTAAAAATAATACACTTATAGCATTACAGGGCTCACAGAAACATTTAAAGTTTACTTCTATAACAAAGTATATTTAGCAGCTAAATACACTGTAAAAAAAAACATTTTAATGCATTCTCTGTAAAATTACAAATCTAAAAATATATTTAAATTTAATACATAAAACAATTAAAACCAATGGAAAAATATATATGGGAACAACTTCAAAGTAAAACCTTTTAAGTATCTAAATAATGTTTTATATTATATAAAAGAGATAAACCACCAACTGAATGCCAACCGAACCATATCTGAAATGGGCATCGGCTGGAAAATGAAAATATACATAAAAAAACCCCCAAAAAAATTAACCAATAAATGATGCATTTAAATACACTCAGAACAGCAGTACTAACTACTGCTATAATTGATTCGTCATATTGTGCAGTCGTTAATGTAAAAAAACAATGAAGCTGTCTTCCAAGAACATGAACATTATCTGCAGTGTGGTAAGCTGTGATGTACAACATGTGAGTAATAAATAGGCCGTGTTACGATCCTCTAACTGATGACAGAAGCCGTTGCCTGTCAGCTCCGAACGATGTCACAAATTGTGACAGACAACCTCCTGCACTAAATTCACTTCTGACCCCAGACAGGATAATAAGTTGATGCTATGATTCTAAATAATCCAATTATCTGCAGGAGGAGGGTGTGTATGGGAGGGGGTGTGGTGTTTGTGTGACCTTGGGGAGAGGTTGACAACCTGGTCCTCAAACAGAAGGGGAGGAGATGACATGGAACAATAAGGTTACTGGTCCCTGGAGGAAAGCCTCATGGCTCCCTGGCTTGGATCAACATCACAGCACCAGCAATATGTCAATTCATCACCCCACCCTGCGCCCCTCACACACACACAGGCTAGACAATTAGCTGCTGTAGTCGAGAAGCAGTTCTGTAATCAGCAGAAGGTAGTGTTCGCTTTTAACCTCTCTTTGCCTTTTCAATCTATCGAGGGCTTGGGTCTCACATTTATTTTCCTTTATTTACAACCACATATTGACTTTTCTCCTCAGGAACGCTCCATCACCAACTAGCACGAGGCAACGCGCAGGGACAAGAGCAGCCTGGAAAAATGTCTTGTCAAAACAGCAATATTTCATATCAAAGCATTTAAGAGACACACGAGTGAAGGCTGGAATAACTATAGTGCTGCTGAGCAGTGCATGGCTCTGCCTCTCTCTCTCTCTAGTTAGCAGCTATAATATTTGTGAGAAAAGCCTATCGAGAGGGTGTGGGTGTAAGAAGAACAGATAATTGAAGCAATGTCTATGAGCCACATGTGTACAGTGTAATCCCTTTTAGGAATTTATTAATTTCTAGTTGTTATGAATGCCAGCATCAAAAATATGTTGCGCTGTAAAGCTCGGCTAAAACTAATATACTGCTATGATAAATATTGCATGGCGGTAAATATGCAATTACCGAGACTACCCATACAGCCAATAAAACTGGAGCGATGGGCAATTAAAGCCACTGTTCCTTAAGGAGCTTATAGCGTTAATATTCAAAAATCTTATGTTTCAGGCTGCGCGTGTTGACATGTGCTGTTTTGGGATGTTGTGGTAGACGGTTTTTAAAATGACGGCCCATGTGCTTCTACAGCTGTTGCAGCAATGACAAGTGCTTGGAGTGACATCTGGGCGAAATCCTCTCGTGCTCGAAAAAAAGGAGGGGGAAAAGAAAAAGCATCTCGTTTGTTCGGAGATTGCTGTGATTGCACGCTCGCCTTTCATGATCTCCTTCGAGTCCGATTCCAAAAAAGAGAGACAGAGAGAGAGGACTCTTGCAGATCTCAGGGCTTGCATGTTCTCCTCCTTCTCCTCTTCGGGCAAACAAGGTAAAAGATAACAAAGCAGGCAGAGTGCATGAGCCCTCTGCAGCCATAGTTAGTATAAAGCTATCAGAATGTGTGAGATGTTGCTGCTGTCAGAGGCTTAAACAGTCAAAGGGATATTTTTAGAGAGCTTAAGCTAATAATCCAGAGCCCCGTCGGGGGGGTGGCGGGAGTCTACAATTTCTTTGCCAAGCAAAATGAAAGAGGAAATACACACTTCATGCAAAGGGCAGTTTTCAAAGTTTAACACTTTGTTTTTTATGACACTGTAAGTGACAGGAGCCTAGCGGGCCTTAAACAGTCAGAGCAGAAGCTGTATGTTGCATATTTTCTGTGAAGTTATTTATATCGTATAGACATTTTTCCCCCTCCCTCCTTTTAATGAAGTTAAACTGCTGATTTTGCATTCAATCTGAGAAACCTGCAGTCAACTGCAATTTCTTTTGTCGCCTGGGGGAAGTGAACAAGCTATGAACATATGACTACAAACAATCTTGTTAGCAAAAAAGTAAGTTATTTACATAGCCCATAGACAGAGGACAATTTCCAGTATTTGGAATCATATATCAGCCACAAGGATGTAATCCTCTGCTTTTAGCTCAGTTTTGGCCTCTACCAGCTTATTGTAGAAATGTCTGGCTCTTGGGATGCTACATTAATTTAATGAAATAGTTGCTGTAAATAGGCTCTGGTGTTATTTTTTTCAGTTGTGGAGCAACGTGTAAAACGTGTAGGTTTGGGTAGATGGTTGGGGAACAAAGATAATAAGTGAAAAAAAAAGTGCTGAAGGAAACTGCAAAGTTGAATAATAATTTTCCATTTGTTCACCATTATGAATGAAACCTAAGACTTTATTCTTTCTTTATTCCGTTAGAGTTTCCTGATCAATTTGACCTTTTAGGGGGGAAAAAGAGGCCTACACAAGCTTTCAGAATCACCACAGTCATCTTTGTTTCTCTGAATAGAGAAAGTGTATTTTTTTTTTTGAAGATTTCTATTTATTTAAAGTTCCTTTTAGTAATGTACACGTCAATAAAAAACCTGGGGGCAAAACAAATTCCACTCTGTAATTTCCCTCCTCCAGTTTATGGATCAAATATGGAATTAATCACGTTTTCTGTATTTGTGTGCGAATGTAACTGATACATATTTCTCTTTTTCTACTCAGTCCATATCTTAATATAAATGTTGTATACAGTATGGTTTATGATGATCCTGATGAAGGCCAAGTTTGTTCACTCACCAAACACTTTATCATGCACACCTTAACAATACCGCATCAATTTTTCAGATGAACTGGTGCTAAAAAGATGCTCTGAGATTTTGGTCAGTATTGACATGGTAGCAACACACAGTTGCTGCAGATCCACGATGCCAATCTCTTATTTCACCACAACCAAGAGGTGCTCTATTAGATTGATATCCAGTGAATGTGGAGGCCACTTGAGTATAAAGAACTTATCATCTTCAAGAAATCAGTTTGAGATGATCTGAGCTTTGTGACATGGAAGCAGCCATCAGTAGGTGGATACACTGTGTTCATACAGATGGACATTGTCAGCAACATACTCTTTAAACTGTGCCTACTTTGTACCAATGGGTTCTAACTGAGCCAAGTAAACATCCCCTACATCTTTACACCACCATCTACCTAAACTGTTGATACAAGCCATCCTTTAATGTTGTTTATACCAATTTCTGACCCTACCAACTCAAACTGGGGCTTGTCAGACCAAGGAATGTTACTATTTGCAAATAATTCCCTGTTCCCAGCAAATACGAGATAAACCCATCGTAGTCTTCTGCTGCTTTAGCCCATCAGCTTCAAGGATTGACATGAGATGCTCAGAGATGCTCTTCTGCATGCCCTGGCTATAACAAGCATTTGCTTGAGTTGCTTTTGCCTTCTTATCAGCTCACTGCGTGTGTGGATATTTTTCTTTGATCATCATAAAGACATTTTCACCCAAAGAACTTTTGCTCCCTGGATATTTTCTCTTTTTCAGATGATTCTCTTTAAGAATGGATGTGTGGAAAAATTGATTTGCATTAACCAGCAGTTGTAACTAATAAAGTGGTAGTTAAGCGTGTATACTACAGGTGTTGCTAGACCTCATAATGAATTTGATTCCAAAAGATTGGACAATTTGGAACCGGTTCTCAATTCCTATCCTATCCAAATCATTTAATGCATTGCCAGTTAAAGTACCAATACATATAAGGACACCCAAGAGAAAAGAAATTAATAAAACTGTCTGAGTCGTTAGCTTCCAGGATAAAATATTCCCAGTAGAAAAAAAAACACCAAACAAAACAAAGCAAGTAGTGAGGTTTTTTTCTCCTCTGTGTAACAAGTTGTCGAGCATATGTCACAGCAGGAGTGCGTCAGGGAAAAAAAATCCAATTTCAGTGTTTTAAAGAATCTAAATCAAAGAGCAAACCTCAGTGCTAAGGTTAATAAAAGTTGATAAGCTGAAAAGCGAACTCCCCCAGGCTACTCAGAAAATAAGCATTTATTTGACCGTTAGCCCAAGCGATGCAGAGGCAGAAATTGAATTGTATTTGACGTTGTGGTTTTTTATTCCTGGGTGCAGCCCTGACAAGTTTTTCACACCAAAACCTCTGTT